TGTAGGATCAAATTATATTGTGGCCCGTCCCTCACCGTACCTGTTCCAAATGGGGTACGTGCCTGTTCCGATCCAGCGGCCGTACCAAAACAATGAAGGATACCGTACCATGTCGCCAATATCGTGTCAACCCCGTACAAACCCCAAACCAAATATGGCCGCACCGTACCTTCCCCGAACCAGCATCATACCGAATCCATTCCGAACCTGAATAGCAGCCTGTCCAGTCATCATGCCAGCTTGATGCCGAATACCGTACCACGCAGACGTGCCGTGATAGTACAGAGCCTGCCCCGAGATGTACCTGCACCGTGACCGTACCCAGATTGATTGTACCGAGCCTCAGGGGCCGGCAGATGTGCCAACCCACTAGTTGCACCTGAAATAGTTGCCACGAACAGTAAAGGTCTGTGCCGTCACTGTACCAATGCCGAACCTGGAATAACCAATCTGAACCGCAGCAGCCTGAACCTTTACCATGCCTGGGCCGTGACGAATACCGTACAATGCCGTTATACCGCGATAGATACCGTACCTGAAGCACGTCAGACACCGTAGGACGTAGCCACTCCGTAACGGCCCCCGTATCCGTACCGAACCAAACACCATAGTCGACCCAAGGCAGCACCACCCCATGCTGTCTATGCGACTCCTGCTCTCAGAACATCTCAACTGCGGTAATGTTAGTAATCAAGCACACCAGGGAAAGCGTCGCAGGGAACCTCGACCATCGGCGGTAGTGTTAACTTGTTAAAATCCAGGGAAAATGCTCAATCGGAGGTCAGAGCTGATGGCGGGTAATCAAGGCGAAATTAGCCCAATCTCCCAATAGTCATGGGTTTCCGTCCCTTTTATTGTTTTTAATCATTCTTCCCTTTCCTTAATTCTGTTGTCGGAAATAGTAAATTAACCGTAAGTTCCATAAAATTCAATCCCGGGAAAGTTTAAATAAATGGCCGAATTCCTTTTGTTTATTTTCTCTTTTACCATTTTTAATCTTTTTCTATGTTTTTAATTTAATTGTCGGGAAAATAAAATAACAAGGGTATTCCCCCTAGAATTAAATGCTGCGAAAAATAAAGAAATTAAGGGATATTATGTTTGTCCCTTCTCCCCTACTGGTCTTAACCCCTCTTCCCATCTTTAATTACGGTACTAAAATAGATAAAAATTTGAGGCCCCATTTCGCCCCGGTCGTATGCTGCAAAAACGTTGCGGCGAGGTCAACTCCCTTGATGCCTCTCTGCGACAGATCAATCCGGGTCTAACCCTCTGAACGGTCGGAAATGACAGTCCCTAGACATGCCGAGTCCGGTCACCCATCTCGCCATCTCTGAGGGTTACTCATAAAGCTCAGTGCGCCCAAAATCAGGGGTGCCCTGAGTTCCCNCCCTAGACATGCCGAGTCCGGTCACCCATCTCGCCATCTCTGAGGGTTACTCATAAAGCTCAGTGCGCCCAAAATCAGGGGTGCCCTGAGTTCCCCTGATTTTTGCTGCCTGGTCATACGAGACTACCATCAAAACACGGATTTGCCCCTGAGCCTAAGTCCCAAAACTGCGGATCTCATGCGGCGCACTGCTTGTGGCCGCCTGACACCGTATCCCGAAGCGTCCGTAGTCACTTGGGTGGGTAGGGTGGGGTCATATATACGGAGGGCAGGTGCGGCTTGCATCGCTGCCTTCAACGTAGTGAACGCGCCACGGGCTGCGTCGTCGAACTCGAAGGGCACCTTCGGGGACTGAAGTCTCGACAAAGGAGCGGCCACTTTCGAGTATGACTCGACGAATCGCTGATAATATCCCGCCAAACCCATGAAAGAGGGTACATCCGTAGTGCAACGGGGTTCCGGCCAATCCACAATGGCTTGGATCTTGTCCGCTAAGGGACGAATGCCTTTCGGCGTGACAAAATGGCCCAAGTACTCAAGCTCTTGCTTGGCGAATTCGCATTTGTCGAGATTCGCTTTGTACTTGGCTAGTCGCAAACGATTCAAGATAACGCGAAGGTGTACGATGTGCTCGTCCAACGTCCTGCTGTAGACCAAAATATCATCAAGGTAAATGAGGACACTGCGATCGAGCAAGTCGCGAAACTCAGTCGTCATTGCTGCTTGAAACGTAGCGGGGGCATTGGTGAGGCCAAATGGCATGACAACCCACTCAAAATGCCCATACCGCGTCTTGAATGCGGTCTTGTACCGGTCTTGAGGCTGGATTTCAATCTGGTGGTAACCTGACTTCATATCCAACTTCGAGAAGTACGTCGCGCCGCCTAACCGCTCAAGGAGATCATCAATCCGAGGGAGAGGGCCGGCGTTCTTTACGGTTTGTGCGTTAAGTTTCCGATAGTCGATGCATAACCGTAGATCTTTGTTCTTCTTCCGGACGAAGAGAA